AGAAGAAGAAGAAGAAGAAGAAGAAGAAGAAGGAGGAGGAGGAGGAGGAGGAGGAGGAAATCTAACCACTTTCAACCACCAACACCAGGTGAAATCCCGACTGAAGGCCATGGGCATCCTGCAGCCTCTGAACATCTTCCTGCGCCAGGAGATAGATCGCATGCAGAAGGTCATCACGCTAGTCCGCGTCACTCTGTCTGATCTGAAACTGGCTATAGACGGTACCATCATCATGAGTGAAGTAAGGGCGACAGGTTTTACTGCTGCTGTTGCTGCTGCTGCGGTTGTTGGTGTCAGTGTTGCTGTTATTGGAGTTGGTAGCGATTTTGTTGTTATTGTTGTTGTTGTCTTCTATTTTTGTGATTAGACAAACAACACTTGAAGAATGTTGACGTTTTCTAAGATTCACACTCTTACATGTGGCTTATCGTTGACAGATCTCAGAACTAGACTCATATTTCTGGTTTATCGTTGACATATCCTCAGAACTACACTCTCACCTGTGGCTTATCGTTGACGTTATCACAGAACTACACTCTTACCTGTGGTTTATCGTGGATATTATCTCAGAACTACACTCTCACCTGTAGCTTATCGTTGACATTATCTCAGAACTACACTCTCGCCTGTGATTTATCGTTGACTTATCTCTGAACTGCACACTCGCCAGTGGCTTATTGCTGTTATTATCTCAAAATCACACTCTCACGGTGTGCTTTATCTTTGACGTTATCTCAGTAACACAATCTTGTCTCGGGTTTATCGTTGGCGTTATCTTAGAATTACATCACATCCTGGCAGAGAGCGTATTGGTGGATGCTTGACAGGTGCTCTGGTATGGTTTGCTCCTCTTCTCCTAGCAAATATCTTTTGTCCTTATCGCTCCTTCCTTTCTTTGTGTGTTACTTTCTTGTAACACCTCTAATCTTCGGCACCTACTTGTGTTGCAAATACCGTAAAACGCTTACTAAAACACTTTCACTAACGTTGACGTTATCTCATGTTGCATGGGGATTATCGGTGTGTTGTTGGGGGCTCTCTGGTGCGCTTTGCACCTTCTTTCCAATCAAAGATCTATTATCAGTATCTTTCCTCCTCGTTTATCGGTGGATGGTTAGCAGGCGCTTTGGTTTGATTAGCTCTTCCTTTCCCATGAAACATCTCTATCGCCCTTATCTCTCATCCTCCTTTTCTTTGTATGTTACTTTCTACTAATACGTCTAATCTTTGGTCACGTATATAACGTATTTGTGTTGCAAGTGCCATAAAACTCTTACTTAAATTAACTTTAACGAAAAACCCTAAAGAAACCCACCTGAAATTTATGGTTTATACCCACATTGTTTATCTCGTCTGTGCCCAGAACTTACGAGACGCCCTGGACAACCTGTTTGACGCCCGTGTGCCCAAACGTTGGATCCGCTTCTCCTGGCAGAGCTCCACCATCGGGTTTTGGTTCACGGAACTGTTGGAGAGAAACGATCAGTTCCACTCCTGGATATTTGAAGGACGTCCCAACATTTTCTGGATGACGGGGTTTTTTAACCCACAAGGTTTGTATTCTGCTCACTGGCGTTCCTACTGTTGGACTCGTCAGACTCAGCCTTTTTTCTATGCTGTTGCTTAACTCTTTCAGGACATAGTGGACCCATAATATGCCTGACAGAAGCAGAGCAAAGGCCATGTTATGATGTATTTTAAACCACAACACACAATCCCGAAACACGAATTATCATATTTTGGATTAAGAATAATGTTGTCACCTGCTTTTTAAAAGTTTCAGATAAAGAAAATACATGTAGAACTCAACATTCCTTTTATGTTTGGAGGTCTTTCAGCATGGTAGACACTGCACGTGCGTCGCGTGCGCA